TGTCGGGAGCCGCTCCCGCCATTACAAGATGGCGCCGGCTTCCTGCTTCCTGGTTCTTCTTGCCAGCATTTTCGCGCTTCTTGCCTGCGCCGCCCTGCAGTTTACGCATGCGCAGCTTTATGCTAATGAGGGTTTAGGCTGCACTCCAATTGCCAGCCATATGCTTATGAAGACTTGAACAGAGCACCAATTACAGATGAACACGCCTCTCTGCTGGCTATTTAAGCAGAGCACAACCCGGGGTTTGGGTCCTTCACCATCTGCAAGAAAGAGCTGTTCAATAAACTTGCCGCTGAAGAAATCCTCGGTTGTTGCGTCGTCCTTATCGGCAAAGGCCGCGCGCGACAACAGAGAGAGTGTGTTACATTCACGTCCTCTCACCACAGAAATGTCACTGGGGCACTCAGTGTGAGATGGGGAATCAAGAAAGAAGATTCTAGAAGGAGGAAACTAGGAAAAATTTGCAACGCTCTGAAATGCAGGGTAAGAAGGTCCCTATCCTTGGAACCCATAATCATCCAAATCTGCGACCTCTGGGTTAATATTTCATCCTCATCACCTGAGCTTGAAGTTGAGAAAATTTCACCCCCAGGGTCATCTAAAGTCTTCTCACTTCACACTTTGGTTTTCCCTGTTCCTTTTGGGGTCTGCTGTGGCTTTTGTATCCTGGCTGATACATTTTCACAGCATTGCTTTTCCCGTGGGGTAATTATGGAAGTGTGAAATAAAGATGGCAGATATTCTGCTTGGCTATTTTCCTGATGACAACTGGGAATGGGGCCATGCAGCTTTTTCATCTAAAAATCTGTAGGATGCTTATTGAGGGAAAAAATGAACTTCAATTAAGTATTAAAAGGCTTTTATGATGTGAAATCACTAACCTCTTTGGATTCATCTACTACAGTAGTTAGCTTGCCTAACCAACATAAAAGTTAGTGTAGGAATTACCTAAATTTAAAAGCAAATTTGTTTTGTACTTCAAAGAATAGAGCCTAGAATTAGATTGAATTGCTTGTTGAATACAGTTCATTAATTATCCTGAAAAGTCCTCATGTCCTGTTACCTCCTCTCTTGTGTGTTTTTCTGAATGTGGGAGGCTTTCTGGAATCCATAGGCTTTGTAAGGTAAAAGGGAGAAAAGCCACAGAAAACTCAAAGTCGAGTTCTGTGGCTCTAGATCAAATGTGTCTGTAAAAAGGTTCCTCTTCTATTGAACCTGGTTCCATAGGCCCCAAGTCATAAAGTGGGGGCCCATGCTGGATTGTTCTTTAATTCCTTGTTGTTGTATTCAGATAGGGTTTCTCTGTGTATCCCTGGCTGTTCTAGAACTTGCTCTATAGAGTGGCCTGGCCTTGAACTCACAGAAATCCACCTGCCTCCTGAGATTCTGAGTGCTGGAGTTAAAGGCGTGGGCCACCACTATCCATTTGCTTTTTGTCACTTGAGCACTGGAAACTCTAGTTTTGTCACCTATAAGTGAGCAATAGCCTAGCTACAATGACCCTCTGTTGAGGTTCCGTAATGATCAGATACTACTGTCTTCATCAGAACTCTATAAAAAAAAAACTTAACAAATTCCAACATCTTAACTATAATTTAGACAGGGGTATCTGGAGTTGCTTTAAAAATGTTTTATGTTATAGGTATGAGCATCTGTCTGCATGTAAGTTTATCACATGTATGCTTGGTGCCCTTGGAGATGAAAACGGGGTGTGCCCTGGAGAAAGTTAGAGTTGTCAGTCACCTGAGGTGGGTGCTGGTAACCAAACCTAAGTTCTCTGCAAGATCGGCAAGTGCTTTTACCTACTGATCCATCTCTCCAGCCCTTAGGTCAATTTTAGGTGCTTAATATATAACTTACACAAAATTATTCTCTGTAGACTTTCTAAGCTAGTGAATAATAACAGTATAATTCATAAATAAAGGAATTCTGGGCTTACTATGCTCCATAGACTATAAAGCCACAGCAGAAACTAACTGCACTGTTTCGACTTATTAGTATTAATAGATATGGTCTCATGGAGTAAAGACAGTGCCCTTTTACTAGCATATCTTTGCTATATTTCATTTTATCTGTCAGTCGGGCTTGTCCAAATAATAAACTATTCTGTGGTGACTTTTGATTTTCCAATCAGATCTGAGAAGAAAAACACAAAGGTGGTACCCTAGAGTTGCTCAACTAAGGCTTATTGGAAAATGCTTGGATTACAATTCAAGATATTACCATTCAGTTTGGACATCCTATAGTCCAGAAGCTGCAGTTTGGATCATCTTAACTGGCACCATCTGGTGCCATGAGCATGTGGTTTCAGGCCTCCTTTCCTTCATTTGATTCTAACAAGTCATGGATATTGATCATCGTACAAAAAGCATAATTCTTTGGAACCCCCTGGTTGTGACCAAAAGATCAGTTCAGCAGAAAACTACTGAATGTGAAAATCTGGAGATGCCCTGAAACCCATCTGAAAGCCTGGCCTCTGTTCAGACCACATGCCTTTCTAAATCACTAGCCCAGTAGGTTAGTGAAGCTCCATTTTGATCCCCAAGGCAGATGCAATTCACTGGCAAGGGGCCACCTGACATCACCTGGCCTTTTCTTCCTAAGATTTGACTTTTTGCCCTTCCTGCTTATCTTTCTGAATTCCCATCATCCCTGCTTCTGTGTTTCTTTAAAAAATGTTTGTTTATTATTACAGTTTATTCACTTTGTACCCAGGCTGTAGTCCCCTCCATCTCCTGCTGGTCTCTCTTCTCCCCCTATACCCCTTTCCTAGTCCACTGAGAGGGGACGACCTTCTCCCCTTCTATCTGATCCTAGCCTATCAAGTCTCATCAGGGCTTGCTGAATCATCTTCCTTTGTGGCCTGGCAAGGCTGCAACCTCCAGAGGTAGGTGATCAAAGAGCCAGCCACCGAGTCCATGTCAGAGACATGACATGACTCAGAGACAGGCCCTGCCCCTCTTACTAGGGAACCCACTTGGAAATTGAGCAGGGGGTCTGTGTCCTCTCCATGCATGGTCCTTGGTTGGAGTAGCAGTCTCTGCAGGAACCTCCCCACCCTCGTGCCCAGGGTTTTGGCTCTGTTGGTTTCCTGTGCAGTTTCTGGCCCCTCCAGGTCTTTCTATCTCCTTCTTCCATAAGGTTTCTTGCACGCTGCCCGAAGTTTGGCTATGAGTCCCAGTATCTCCTTTGATACTCTGATGGGTAGAGTCTTTCAGAGCACCCCCTCCCCATGGAAGGTTCCTGTCCTGTTCCTTGCCTTGTCCTACTTCTGATGTCTATCTTCTTTGTCCTTCTGAGTGAGGTTTCAGCCTCTTCCCTACGGTCCTCTTTGTTGTTTAGCTTCTCTAAGACTATAGATTTTAGTATGTTTATCCTATATTATATGGCTAATATCCACTTATAAGTGAGTATATACCATAGGTGTCTTTCTGCTTCTGGGATAGCTCACTCAGGATGATCTTTTCTAGTTCCTACCATTTGCCTGCAAATTTCATGATTTCCTTGCTTTTAATTGCTGAATAGTATTCCATTGTGTAAATATATCACAATTTCTGTATCCATTCCTCTGTTGAGGGACATCTAGGTTGTTTCCAGATTCTGGCTATTATGACTAATGCTGCTATGAACATAGTTGAGCAAATGTCTTTGTTGTATGGTTTAGCATCTTTTTGATATATGCCTAGAAGTGGTACGGCTGGATCTTGAGGTAGCACTATTCTTAATTTTCTGAGAAAGTGCCAGATTGATTTCCAAAGTGGTTGTACAAGTTTACATTCCCGTCAGCAATGGAGGAGGGTTCTCCTTTCTCCACAACCTCTCCAGCATGCATCATCCTTTGAGTTTTTGATTTTAGCTATTTTGATGGGTGTGAGGTGAAATCTCAGGGTCGTTTTGATTTGCATTTCCCAAATGACTAAGGACGTTGAGCTTTTATGTATTCTCTGCCATTCAATATTCCTCTGTTGAGAATTCTCTGTTTAGCTCTGTACCCTATTTTTTAATTGGATTACTTTGTTTGTTACTGTGTAACTTCTTGAGTTCTTTATATATTCTTGATTTTAGCCCTCTGTTAGGTGCAGGGCTGGTGAAGATCTTTTCCCAGTCTGTAGGCTGTAGGGAAAACTTGAATGTCTCATGTTGAAGAGCCTAGCTGTTAAGGTTCTTGACACACCAGCAAAAGGACCTGGGTTTGATCCTTACAAGCCATGTAAGGAGCTGATCATGGTGGTTCACACCTGTCATCCCAGAGCTAGAGAGAGAGGGAGAGAGACAGCAGACAGAGAGACGGTGACAGAGAGAGGTGGGTTTCTGAGGCTCACCGGCCAGCCAGCATAGCCTAGATGAGTTCTGGCTAGTGAGAGACTGTCTTGATAAACAAGGTGGATGTCTGTTCAGGAGCAACATCTGATATTGACTTCTGGCCTCTGCATGTACGCGTGCTCATGAGATGCACGCACACGCATACACACATGCATACATGCAAATAAGTGCACGCACGCACGCACGCACATGAATGCGCACACATATGCACACAAACATACACACAGATCGACTTTGAAAATCTGTTGTTAAACATCTGATACTTCCTTTTTTCTAGGAAGAATAGTCTTTTGCATTTGAGCCATAAGAACAGCAGGTGGGACATTTTGCTCACACTAAAAGGGTGTGTGAATGGTCTTAAACTTCAACCTCATTTCTGCTTCCTTTAAAAGATACATGAACAGCTAGAATGAAGAAGGCATTGCTTCAAAGTTTGCTCTTTTGTAACGTTAAGACTGAGAAGCATTTTTATTTGATCTCTGGTCTTTATCTAGTGTTTTTCCCCCCATCTGAGGAAGCACATTTCTAAAAATCTTCTGGATCTACCAAGCAGAAAGGAAAAATGAACCGCCAAGGGGCACACCATAGCATCTTAAATCTTCCAAAGAGCAAATAGGGTTGTAATAATGTAACCTTTTGATGCCCCCTCTGTGTGTGTCTGTATGTATGTGTTTTGAGAATGTTGATATTTATTCTATTTGTTCTTTAAGGATCTTGTAAAAAAAAAAAAAAAAAAGAAGTACACATCATTTGTAAAGTCTTTTGAAAACTCTCTGTAAGCCATGCCTTGATGAATTTTGTCAGGAACCGTATTGTGGTCTCAGAATGTTTTATCTCAAGCCTCTATTTCTGACTACATAAGATAGCTGATGAGTTGTTTTTAGAGTCTAGTCTAACAGGTGACATTCTGACCTTCTGATAAAGGAATGGTTAGCTCTCTGCTCTCTAGAGAAGTCACTGGGTGAGTCTAACATTTAACAGACACACTCGTGAGGCTGGAGGAATGGCTCAGTAGGTAAAGTGCTTGTTGCACAAGGATGGGATTCCCAGAACCCAGGATGTGTAGTCAGACACTGTAGCGTGGGTCTGGAATGTGAGGGTTCTCACAGCAGGACAGGAGGCAGAGACAGAATTCCTGGGAGCTTGTGGTCCAGCCCTCCTGGCATATGCTCAATGAATAAGAGGCTAGGTCTCCAACAGGTGGAAGGTGAGGACAAACACCTGCGATTGTCTTCTGATCTCCATGATCATGCACGCAGGTGCTTGTACACACACACACACACACACACACACACACACACACACACACAC